CATCTGTAATACATACAATGTGAACAGGTCGCTATACACATGTTCATATCTGTAATATGTACAATGTGAACAGGTCGTCGCTATACACATGTTCACATCTGTAATATGTACAATGTGAACAAGTCGTCGCTATACACATGTTCACATCTGTAATACATACAATGTGGACAGGTCGCTATACACATGTTCACATCTGTAATACGTACGATGTGAACAGGTCGCTATACACATGTTCACATCTGTAATACATACAATGTGGACAGGTCGCTATACACATGTTCACATCTGTAATCAGGTCGTCGCTATACACATGTTTACATATGTAATATGTACAATGTGAACAGGTCGTCGCTATACACATGTTTACATCTGTAATATGGACAATGTGAACAGGTCGTCGCTATACACATGTTCACATCTGTAATCGGGTCGTCGCTATACACATGTTTACATCTGTAATATGGACAATGTGAACAGGTCGTCGCTATACACATGTTCACATCTGTAATCAGGTCGTCGCTATACACATGTTTACATCTGTAATATGTACAATGTGAACAGGTCGTCGCTATACACATGTTCACATCTGCTATGCATGATTACTGTAACCCAAGGTCAAGGTGTGCAAGGTGGAAAGTTAGTCGAGCGGCAAGTCTAGACTGTTCTTCTAGTTTCCTTCAACAACAAAACTTTAAAAAGAAATTATTGCAGTTCTCTTGGTGGTAGGTTTTTATGACTTAAAAACATCTACATATTTGTACTGATCCTCATAGTAACAAAGGGAATTTATTTGGTTTACAGTGACAATATGCCCTTCCTCGAACCAACCTCATGGGGCAAAGGGGCGGGGCCTAATAGGACATTTAACTCATTCACCCCTGAAGACACATTTGAACTCTTCCAATTCAAAGGTTGGAATAGTTCATTATGAAATTTCAGGGGTGAATGAGTTAAAGGTAGATCTCCCGCCTCCTCGTAAGGCATATGAGCAGGGTGCAATAAGGGAAATAAATGTAAATTTTCAAAATCCATCTTCAGTACGATTATTGAAATTTCGTCCGAATTTGTTTGGCATCTTTGTACCATTAGGGGACTCAATTTTGTTTTGTTGTTGGGACATAAAGTGAGTACCCAGTAGTGGAAGTCAAGGTTATTCTTTCTCATTAAGTATGAATAAAGGGATTTTAATTATCTGGGCAAAGTGGACTCAGTGTCATACAAATGAAGGGTAAAGGCCTCCTGGATGTAAAGGCAATTTTGTGAAAATCTAAACTTGCAAAATTTCTTATTTTTGGAAATTAAAAAAAAATACACCACAAATTGACAATTTTCTTGAAGTGTTTTTACTGCAAAAAAACAATCAGGACACAGTTTCATACTAAAAATAGCAAAAAAAATAAAAACAGCTGTCTCCCATTGAAAAAGAGGAGGGAACTCAAATAAATTTCATAGAAAAATATCATTTACTCAATTAAGAGATCTCTCCCTTTCCCACCCTCATTGACCTGAGGGCCATATGGAAATGGTTGAGAGTCCTATTTTCTAACTAATTATGTGCTTACGGGGCATGAAGATCAGATGGACAACATTATACTATTATATCATGCTACCGGAACTGTTGAAATCCCCTCCCTGTCACCATAAACACATATATAAAAATACCATATTTCCTTTGGAGCATTTATATTCTGCTTGACCTGGAAATCACCTTGTTGTGCCAAAGAAAACTAAAGCTATTCTGGGGGCTGCACACAAAACAGGGTATTTGGGTGTGACTGTGTAAGTGAAGGGGCTGGACACAACACAGGGTATTTGGTGACCTGGAAATCACCTTGTTGTGCCAAAGAAAACTAAAGCTATTTTGGGGGCTGCACACAAAACAGGGTATTTGGGTGTGTAAGTAAAAGGAGCTGGGCACAAAACAGGGTATTTGGGTGTGTAAGTGAAGGGGTTGGGCACAACAAAGGGTATTTGGGTGTGTAAGTGAAGGGGCTGGGCACAACACAGGGTATTTGGGTCTGTAAGAGAAGAAGCTGGGCACAACACAGGGTATTTGGGTGGGTAAAAGAAGAAGCTGGGCACAAAACAGGGCATTTGGGTGTGTAAATAAAAGGAGCTGGGCACAATACGGGGTATTTGGGTGTGTAAATAAAAGGAGCTGGGCACAACACGGGGTATTTGGGTGTGTAAATAAAAGGAGCTTGGCACAACACGGGGTATTTGGGTGTGTAAATAAAAGGAGCTGGGCACAAAACAGGGTATTTGGGTGTGTATAAGTAAAAGGAGCTGGGCACAACACAGGGTATTTGGGTGTGTAAAAGAAGAAGCTGGGCACAAAACAGGGTATTTGGGTGTGTAAATAAAAGGAGCTGGGCACAACACGGGGTATTTGGGTGTGTAAATAAAAGGAGCTGGGCACAACACAGGGTATTTGGGTGTGTTAATAAAAGGAGCTGGGCACAAAACAGGGTATTTGGGTGTGTAAGTTAAAGGAGCTGGGCACAAAACAGGGTATTTGGGTGTGTAAGTAAAAGGAGCTGGGCACAACACAGGGTATTCGGGTGTGTAAGTGAAGGGGCTGGGCACAACACAGGGTATTTGGGTGTGTAAGTTAAAGGAGCTGGGCACAAAACAGGGTATTTGGGTGTGTAAGTAAAAGGAGCTGGGCACAACACAGGGTATTTGGGTGTGTAAGTGAAGGGGCTGGGCACAACACAGGGTATTTGGGTGTGTAAGAGAAGGAGCTGGGCACAAAACAAGGTATTTGGGTGTGTAAGTAAATGGAGCTGGGTACAAAACAGGGTATTTGGGTGTGTAAGTAAAAGGAGCCGGGCACAAAACAGGGTATTTGGGTGTGTTAGTAAAAGGAGCTGGGCACAAAACAGGGTATTCGGGTGTGTAAGTAAAAGGAGCTGGGTACAACACAGGGTATTTGGGTGTGTAAGTAAAAGGAGCTGGGCACAAAACAGGGAATTTGGGTGTGTAAGTAAAAGGAGCTGGGCACAACACAGGGTATTTGGGGGTGTAAGTTAAAGGAGCTGGGCACAAAACAGGGTATTTGGGTGTGTAAGTAAAAGGAGCTTGGCACAAAACAGGGTATTTGGGTGTGTAAGTGAAGGGGCTGGGCACAACACAGGGTATTTGGGTGTGTGAGAGAAGGAGCTGGGCACAAAACAAGGTATTTGGGTGTGTAAGTAAAAGGAGCTGGGCACAAAACAGGGTATTTGGGTGTGTAAGTAAAAGGAGCTGGGTACAACACAGGGTATTTGGGTGTGTAAGTAAAAACCTACTGCTGAAAGGTTGCTCATTTTACAACCAAATTCTTATGAGCCATCCTTGGAAGCAAGGAATGAAACATTGTATAAAAAAGGTGGATGCTGAAAGAAAAAGCCAAAATTCTGAAATAGATGCAGCACTATATTTAATGAGAAGGTTTGACCAGGATTGGTTAAATATTCTGGGGAGCTATGCAGACCCTGTGGGCTTCTAATGTTTGAAGATGTCCTATCAGATATTATATAATTAGCTCATCGGACGACAGACGACATACCCCACGGTATGGCGTCTGTCGTTTGTCCATCGTACGTCGTCCGTCAAATGACTTCTTCTTCTTAACCACTGATTGGAATTTAATTAAATCTGATTGGAAGCATATTTAGGTAATGGGGATTCAAAATTGTACAAATGGTGGGGCTGACCCTAAGGGGGCTGAGGGGCGGGGCCAAAAGTGGGCAATTTGGCTATATTGCTATGAACGACTGTAGAACTATGCACTGGATATCAATCATATTTGGTCGGAAGCATTCATGGGAGGCGGGGATTCAAAATTGTACAAATGGTGGGGCTGACCCCCCGGGCTAAGGGGGTAGGGCCAAAAAAAAGTTTATTACTTGGAAATGGTTGAGATTCCCACGATATAACCGTATATACAATTGCTGAGTATGAAGAGAAGAATGCACATATGCTTCCAGGATGGCCCTGGTGTCTGGCCCCACCCTTGGAGACATAGTCCCTTGGTCATAACTTTGAAACGGTTGAGATCCCCACCCCAAAACTTTATATACAAATGCTGGGCATAGTGAGACGAATGCAGTCATGATATAATTTGGAATAGACCCTGGGGTCTGACCGAACCCCTAGGGACCTAGTTTCTGAGTCACAGCTTGGAAACAGTTGAAATCCCCACCCTATAACCATATAAACAATTACTGAGTATAAAGAAATGAATGCACGTACGCTTCCAGGATGGCCCCGGGGTCTGCCCCACCCTTGAAGGTTTAACCCCTGGGTTATAACTTCGTAACGGTTAAGATCCCCACCCCAAAACTATATATACAATTGTTGGGCATAAAGAGACGAATGCAGTCATGATATTAGAATTGACCCCAAGGTCTGCCCCACCCTTGGAGACTTAACCCCTGGGTCATAACTTCAAAAATGTTAAGATTCCCACTCCAAAACTACATATACAATTGTTGGGCATAAAGAGACGAATGGAGTCATGATATTAGAATTGACCTCAAGGTCTTCCCCACCCTTGCAGACTTTACCCCTGGGTCATAACTTTGAAATGGTTGAAATTCCCCACTCAAAAACTATGTATACAAATGCTGGGCATAAAGAGACGAATGCAGTCATGATATTAGAATTGATCCTGGGGTCTGGCCACAACCCTAGGGACCTAGTTTCTGAGTCACAGCTTAGAAACAGTTGAGATCCCCAACCCATAACCATACATGAAATTGCTGGGCATGAAACAAATCTAATACAGATATGCTACAAGGATTGGCCTGGCCTATTCCCTTGGATCTCATTTGGAGAATAGTTTGCCATGATTGCTTATTTATCCAGGTGAGCGATACAGGCCCTCTTGTTTTCATCTGTGACAATGAGAATAAGGAATGTCGACTGGAGCAAGACATTTTTTTTTTCCCTCATCTAGATTCTGAATGTTTATTCTGAATGTTTTGTTTTCTAATATGTTATTATGTATTCCTCAGGTCCCGAGCAAAAAGGCTGTCCAAGCTTTCTAAGGAACCAGAAGGAAGGGTCAAGATTTTCTCAGATGAAGATTTTAAGTCAAAGTTCAAGGTTTTGGAAGTAGTGAATAAACGTAAGACATAAAAACTTTTTTCAAGTAAGGCAGTAAATTATGGTAAAAGGGTTGGACAAGGCAATGGATAGGGGATACTAACAAGGGATTGTAGCAGGTAATGGATAGGGGATACTAATAAGGGATTGTAGCAGGTAATGGATAGGGGATACTAATAAGGGATTGTACCAGGTAATGGATAGGGGACACTAATATAATAAGGGATTGTACCAGGTAATCGATAGGGGATACTAATAAGGGATTGTACAAGGTAATGGATAGGGGACACTAATAAGGGATTGTACCAGGTAATCGATAGGGGATACTAACAAGGGTTTGACCAGGCAATGGATAGGGGACACTAATAAGGGATTGTACCAGGTAATGGATAGGGGATATTAACAAGGGTTTGACCAGGTAATGGATAGGGGACACTAATAAGGGATTGTACCAGGTAATCGATAGGGGATACTAACAAGGGTTTGACCAGGCAACGGATAGGGGACACTAATAAGGGATTGTACCACATAATAGAAAGGGGACACTGACAATGGATTGTACCAGGTAATGGATAGGGGACACTTTTAATGGATTGTACCAGGTAATGGATAGGGGACACTTATAAGGGATTGTACCAGGCAAAAGATAGGGGACACGTATAAGGGATTGTTCCAGGTAATATATTGGGGATACTAACAAGGGTTTGATCAGGTAATGGATAAGGGACACTAATAAGGGATTGTACCATGTAATGGATAGGCGACACTACTAAGGAATTGTACCAGGCAAAGGATAGGGGACACTTATAAGGGATTGTACTAGGTAATGGATAGGGGATACTAACAAGGGTTTGACAAGGTAATGGATAAGGGACACTAATAAGGGATTGTACCATGTAATGGATAGGTGACACTACTAAGGGATTATAGCAGGTAATGGATAAGGGACACTAATAAGGGATTGTACCATGTAATGGATAGGGGACACTTATAAGGGATTGTACCAGGCAAAGGATAGGGGTCACTTATAAGGGATTGTACCAGGTAATGGATAGGGGATAGCAACAAGGGATTGACCAAGAAATGGATAAGGGACACTAATAAGGGATTGTAGCAGGTAATGGATAGGGAACACTAGTAAGGGATTATTCCTGGTAATGGATAGGGGACACTAACAAGGGATTGTACCACATAATAGATAGGGGACACTGATAATGGATTGTACCGGGTAATGGATAGGGGACACTTATAAGGGATTGTACCAGGTAATGGATAGGGGACACTAATAATGGTTTGATAAGGCAATGGATGGGGGACACTGATAAGGGATTGTACCAGGTAATGGATATGGGACACTTATAAGGGATTGTACCAGGTTAAGGACATGGGATACTAACAAGGGTTTGACCAGGCAATGGATAATGGACACTAATAAGGGATTGTACCAGGTAATGGATAAGGGACAGCAACAAGGGATTGTACCACGTAATTGATAGGGGACACTGACAATGGATTGTACCAGGTAATGGATAGGGAGGTAATGGATAGGGGACACTAATAAGGGATTGTCCCGGGCAAAGGATGGGGACACTTATAAGGGATTGTAGCAGGTAATGGATAGGGGACACTAATAATGGATTGTACCAGGCAAAGGATAGGGGACACTTATAAGGGATTGTACCAGGTTAAGGACATGGGATACCAACAAGGGTTTGACCAGGCAATGGATAATGGACACTAATAAGGGATTGTACCAGGTAATGAATAGGAGATACTAACAAGGGATTGTACCAGGTAATGGAAAGGCGATACTAATAAGGGATTGTAACAGGTAATGGATAGGGAACACTAATAAGGGATTGTGCTAGGCAATGGATAGGGGACACTAATAAGGAATTGTACCAGGTAATGAATAGGGGACACTTATAAGGGATTGTACCAGGTAATCTAATAAGGGATTGTACCAGGTAATGGATAAGGGACATTAACAAGGGATTGTACCACGTAATTGATAGGGGACACTGACAATGGATTGTACCAGGTAATGGATAGGGAGGTAATGGATAGGGGACACTAATAAGGGATTGTCCCGGGCAAAGGATGGGGACACTTATAAGGGATTGTAGCAGGTAATGGATAGGGGACACTAATAATGGATTGTACCAGGTAATGGATAGGGGACACTAATCAGGGATTGTACCAGGCAAAGGATAGGGGACACTTATAAGGAATTGTACCAGGTAATGGATAGGGGATACTAACAGGGGTTTGACCAGGGAATGGATAAGGGACACTAATAAGGGATTGTAGCAGGTAATGGATAGGGAACACTTATAATGGATTGTACCAGGTAATGGATAGGGGACACTAATCAGGGATTGTACCATGAAATGAATAGAGGACACTTATAAGGGATTGTACCAGGTAATGGATAGGAGATACTAACAAGGGTTTGACCAGGTAATGGATTAGGGACACTTATAAGGCATTATAAGGGATTGTACCAGGTAATGGATAGGAGATACTAACAAGGGTTTGACCGTTTGACAAGGTAATGGATAAGGGACACTAATAAGGGATTGTAGCAGGTAATGGATAGGGAACACTAATAATGGATTGTACCAGGTAATGGATAGGGGACACTAATCAGGGATTGTACCATGAAATGAATAGAGGACACTTATAAGGGATTGTACCAGGTAATGGATAGGAGATACTAACAAGGGTTTGACCGTTTGACAAGGTAATGGATAAGGGACACTAATAAGGGATTGTACCATGTAATGGATAGGCGACACTACTAAGGAATTGTACCAGGCAAAGGATAGGGGACACTTATAAGGGATTGTACCAGGTAATGGATAGATAGGGGATACTAACAAGGGTTTGACCAGGTAATGGATAGGGAACACTAATAAGGGATTGTGCTAGGTAATGGATAGGGGACACTAATAAGGAATTGTACCAGGTAATGAATAGGGGACACTTATAAGGGATTGTACCAGGTAATGGATAGATAGGGGATACTAACAAGGGTTTGACCAGGTAATGGATAGGTGACACTAATAAGGGATTGTACCATGAAATGAATAGAGGACACTTATAAGGGATTGTACCAGGTAATGGAGAGATAGGGGACACTAATAAGGGATTGACCCTGGTAATGAATAGGTGACACTAATAAGGGATCGTACCAGGTAATGAATAGGAGATACTAACAATGGTTTGACCAGGTAATGGATAGGGAACACTAATAAGGGATTGTGCTAGGTAATGGATAGGGGACACTAATAAGGAATTGTACCAGGTAATGAATAGGGGACACTTATAAGGGATTGTACCAGGCAAAGGATAGGGGTCACTTATAAGGGATTGTACCAGGTAATGGAGAGATAGGGGACACTAATAAGGGATTGACCCTGGTAATGAATAGGTGACACTAATAAGGGATTGTACCATGAAATGAATAGAGGACACTTATAAGGGATTGTACCAGGTAATGGAGAGATAGGGGACACTAATAAGGGATTGACCCTGGTAATGAATAGGTGACACTAATAAGGGATCGTACCAGGTAATGAATAGGAGATACTAACAAGGGATTGTACCAGGTAATGGAAAGGCGACACTAATAAGGGAATGTAACAGGTAATGGAAAGGGGACACTAATAAGGGATCGTACCAGGTAATGAATAGGAGATACTAACAAGGGATTGTACCAGGTAATGGAAAGGCGACACTAATAAGGTATTGTAACAGGTAATGGAAAGGGGACACTAATAAGGGATCGTACCAGGTAATGAATAGGAGATACTAACAAGGGATTGTACCAGGTAATGGAAAGGCGACACTAATAAGGGAATGTAACAGGTAATGGAAAGGGGACACTAATAAGGGATTGTACCAGGCAAAGGATAGGGGTCACTTATAAGGGATTGTACCAGGTAATGGATAGATAGGGGACACTAATAAGGGATTGAACCTGGTAATGAATAGGTGACACTAATAAGGGATCGTACCAGGTAATGAATAGGAGATACTAACAATGGTTTGACCAGGTAATGGATAGGGAACACTAATAAGGGATTTTACCAGGTAATGGATAGGGGACACCAACAAGGGATTGTACCACATAATAGATCGGGGACACTGTGAATGGATTGTACCAGGAAAAGGATAGGGGACACTAATAAGGGATTGTACCAGGTAATAAATAGGAGATACTAACAAGGGTTTGACCAGGAAATGGATAGGGAACACTAATAAGGGATTTTACCGGGTAATGGATAGGGGACACTAATAAGGGATTGAACCTGGTAATGAATAGGGGACACTAATAAGGGATTGTACCAGGTAATAAATAGGAGATACTAACAAGGGTTTGACCAGGAAATGGATAGGGAACACTAATAAGGGATTTTACCAGGTAATGGATAGGGGACACTAACAAGGGATTGTACCACATAATAGATCGGGGACACTGTGAATGGATTGTACCAGGCAAAGGATAGGGGACACTAATAAGGGATTGTACCAGGTAATGGATAAGGGACACTAATTAGGGATTGCAGCAGGTAATGGATAGGGGACACTAATAAGGGATTGTACCAGATAATGGATAGGGGACATTTATAAGGGATTGTACCAGGTAATGGATAGGGAATATTAACAAGGATTTGACCAGGTAATGGATAGGGGACACTAATAAGGGATTGGACCAGGTAATGGATAAGGGACACTAACAAGGGTTTGAGCAGGTAATGGATAGGGGACACTAACAAGGGTTTGAGCAAGTAATGGATAGGGGATACTTATAAAGGGAATGTACCAAGTAATGGATAAGGGTTGGACCAGGTAATGGTAGGGGACACTAATAAGAGATTTGACCAGGTAATGGATAGGGGTAACTTATATGGTATTGGTGCAAGTAATGGTTAGGGGACACTAATAAAGATTGGATCTGCAGGTAATAGATAGTGGACACTAATAAGGGTTGGACCAAATAATAGTTAGGGGATACTAATAAGGGATTGTACCAGGTAATGGATAGGGAACACTAGTAAGGAATTGTACCAGGTAATGGATAGGGGACACTAATATGGAATTGTACCAGGAAATGGATAGGGGATACTTATAAAGGGAATATACCAAGTAATGGATAGTGGACACTAATAAGGGTTTGACAAGGCAATTGACAGGGGACACTTATAAGGGATTGTTCCAGGTAATGAATAGGGGACACTAATAAAGGATTGTTCCAGGTAATGGATAGGGGACACTAATAAGGGATTATACCAGGAAATGGATAGGGGACACTAACAATGGTTTGAGCAGGTAATGGATAGGGAATACTTATAAAGGGAATGTACCAAGTAATGGATAAGAGTTGAAGCAGGTAATGTTAGGGGACACTAATAAGAGATTCGACCAGATAATGGATAGGGGTAACTTATATGGTATTGGTGCAAGCAATGGTTAGGGGACACTAATAAATATTGGACCTGCAGGTAATAGATAGTGGACACTAATAAGGGTTGGACCAAATAATGGTGAGGGGATACTAATAAGTTATCAGACCAGGTAAAAGTCAGAGGACACTAATATGGGTTGGACTTTGTAATGGATAGGGGACACTAATAAGGGTTGGACCAGGTAATGGTATGGGACACTGATATGGGTTTGACCAGGTTATGGATAGGGGACGCTTATATGGGTTGGACCAAGTAATGGATAGGGGACACTAATATGGGTTGGACCAAGTAATGGATAGGGGACACCAATATGATCGTACCAGGTAATGGACAGTGGACACTATTAAGGGTTGGACCAGGTAATGGTAGGGGACACTGATATGGGTTTGACCAGGTTATGGATAGGGGTAACTAATATGGGATCGGACCTAGTAATGGATAGGGGATACTAATAAGGGATTGGTCCAAATAATGGTTAGGGGTAACTAATATGGATTGGACTAGGTAATGGTTAGGGGTAACTAATCTGAGATTTGACCAAGTAATGGTAAGGGGATACTAATATGGGATTGTACCAGGTAATGAAAAGGGGACACTAATATGGGTTGGACCAGGTAATGGATAGGGAACACTAATATGGAATTGAACCAGGTAATGATTAGGGGATACTTATATTTACTAATTATTTCGGCATGAATGCTTTAACATTGCCTTTGTTACCACTGTAAAAAAAGATCAAGAAAACTAATTTCTGAGAGGGTCTGCATCCTTTGGCTTCATTAAAATGAGAGTGTATACATTCACTAGTATTCTAGATTAATAAAATTGATTACCTGACACTGAGCAAGATTGGGTCATCTCAGTCGAGGGCTAAGATTCTGTAGCATAATCCCAACTGATCAGGTGAAAGCCAAAGTTGGGATGAAACAGAATCTTAGGCCAGGACTGAGCTAACCCGATCTTGCTTAGTTACAGGCCAAAAGGGCCAAGTGAGCTTATGACGTGGTGCGGCGTCCGTCGTCCCTCCGTCCGTTGTCCATCCTGAGTCTGTCCTGCGTCAACTTTTTACTTTAAACAACTTCTTCTCAATAACCAAGAGGCCCAGGCTGATGATATTTGGCCAGTAGCATGCTGAGATGAAAGGCTACCAAGTTTGTTTTAATAAATGACCTTGATTCATATTCAAGGTCACAGGGGTTGAATAAGTGTAAATCTTTTAAACAAGTTCTTCTGAATAACCATGAGCCTAGGGAGATGATATTTGGCCAGTAACATGCTATGATAAAGGGCTACCAAGTTTGTTCAAATAAATGACCTTGATTTATATTCAAGGTCACAGGGGTCAAATATGTGAAAAACCTTTTAACAACTTTTTCTGAAAAACCAAGAGGCCTAGGGAGATGATATTTGGCCAGTAGCATGCTGGGATGAAGGGCTAACACGTTTGTTCAAATTAATGGCCATGACCTATTTTCAAGGCCGTAGGGGACAAATATGTTTTAAACCTTTACACAACTTCTTCTGCATAACCGAAGAGCCTAGGATGATGATATTTTGTCAGTAGCATGCTGGGATGAAGGGCTACCAAATTTGTTCAAATAAATGACTTTGACTTATATTCAAGGTCACAGGGGTCAAATATGTTTAAAATCTTTAAACAACTTCTTCTGAATAATCAAGAGGTCTAGGGTAATTATATTTAACTGAATAACCGAACAGCCTAGGATGATGATATTTTGTCAGTAGGATGCTAAGATGAAGTGCTACCAAATTTGTTCAAATGAATGACCTTCATCAATATTCAAAGTCACAGGGGGGTCAAATATGTTGAAATCTTTAAATAACTTCTGAATAACCAGAAGGCCCAGGATGATGATATTTGGCCAGTAGCATGCTGGGATGAAGGGCTACCAAGTTTGTTCAAATGAATGTCCTTTTGCCTATTTTCAAGGTCACAAGGCTCAAATATGTTAAAATCGTTATACAACTTCTTCTGAAAAACCAGAAGGCCAAGGATGATGACATTTGGCCAATGACATGCTGGGATGAAGCACTAACAAGTTTGTTCAAATGAATGACCTTCACCCATATTCAAGGTCACAGGGGGGTAAAATATGTTGAAACTTTTAATCAACTTCTTGTAAAAAACCAAGGGGCCTAGGGTGTTAATATTTTGCCAGTAGTATGCTGAGACAAAGGGCTACCAAGTTTGTAAAAATGAATGATGACCTTTGCCCATTTTCAAGGTCACAGGAGTCAATTGTCTTAAAAACCTTTAAACGACTTCTATTGTATAATCAAAAGGTCCAGGGTGATGATATTTGACCAGAAGGATATTGGCATGAAGGGCTACGAAGCTTGTTCAAATGAATGACCTTCGCCCATATTCAAGGTCACATCGGTTATTTGTCTTAAAAAGCACTAAAAAGGCCTTCTTTTGAATAACTAAAGCGTCCAGGATGATTGCTTATTCATGTGAATGACCTTGACACACTTTCAAAGTCACCTCTGGTCCACAGTGCATAAATCTTAAAATTCATCTTCTCAGTAAACAAAAGGTAAAGGGCCATTAGGGTTGTGATATTTCACAAATTTAATGTCAGTGTTTGACTTTCAAGGTCATAGGGGTCAAATTTGTTTAAATCGTTTAACAGGTTCTTCTGAATGATTTAAGTCAAGACACTGATATTTTGCCTGTAGCTTTATTTTAGTCCACTTATAAGGTTACAATTGTGAGATTAATACCAGGTGAGCGATGCAGGTCCATTGGGTCTCTTGTTTCTCTCACCTTTTAGTTTGAAAAAAATCTGTTCAAATTTGTTAATGACAACAAGTATCCTGTCTTGGGCCTCATATAAAAATAACCTCTACACTACTGAAGCTACATTTGAATGCTTCTGCATAAATGTAGTCCGTCCTTACAAGGAAGACAACATACATGTATTTCAGAGTGTAGATTATATTTTATCTACAACATCAGATATCTAATGACATCAAAACAATACATATAACGACAAAACAGAATAGTTATAATGAAATTTTTATATCGCAAGCTGTTAACGCGCCAATGAATACATCGCAGTGTAAAATATCAGCAAAATGTCACATTGAAGTATGAGACAGATCAGACGAGACAGAAAAATCTAGCATGGGGAATGACGTGAGATATCTCTGTCTGAGGTGCGAGAAAGTAGGATAAAGAGAATTACTTATAATTCTTCAGTGATTTCTGTTTACTTACAGCGGGTGCTGCGTTGAAGGTTGTGTTTTTGGATTTCCACCTGAATGAGAATCGGCGGGAACACCACACTAAGGAGTTTGACCAGCCTGACCTGATCCTGAGGCGAGGTCAAGCCTTTACACTGACCCTTGAATTTGACCGTGAGATTGACATAACCCATGACAATGTGATTCTTCAGCTCACTTACGGTATGTATCCCAGACAAGGACAGACGTTAGGATCTGGTGAGATATAATTAAAACTGTATCAGTGAAAAGTCAGTCCTATAAGCATCACTTAAATATTTAAAAACATAATTTGTCACATGTGATTAGGAAAGAGTGAGTTTTGATATATTTTGGTGGTATACCATGATGTTTATCCTTTTGCTTTGGTATCTTCTTGGTTTCTGCTGTGGTCTTCTATTATATCTTATATCTGTTTCTATTCAAATCACCCTGTGTCGCAGTCCGTCCGTCCGTCCGTCCGTCCATCAGTCCTTAAACAATTCTTGTTAGCGCTAGCGCTATTTCTCAGAAAGTTCTGGAGGGATCTTTTTAAAATTTCACATGAAGGTTCTCCATGATCCCTAGTTATGCATATCGTTTCTGGAACTGATTGTGAAACCAAAATGGCCTACAGGCAGCAATCTTTAATTTGAAAGTTTAAGTTTGTTAGCGCTATTTTTCAGAATGTACTGAAGGGATCTTGCTCAAATCTTATGTAGCCGGTCGTGGCTTAAAGGTTCTTTTCAACAACGATCAACACCTTCTTCCTTTCAATATAGTTTATTCCCTGGTCAGAAGACCCTAAAACAGCAATTAATAACAATAAATGTTAACCTTTCCTACCCTACACATTTACATAATAGAACAGACGAACTTGTGCTAACGTAACAAATTAACGCACTTGATAACTTTACGCTTCGCTATATAATTATTACTAAATTAAAATACTGAACAACACAGACGCAATCATCTGAGATACAATTCACATGCGCGTAACACTTGTGATAAGTTACACAAAACCTACATCTGTAAATACAACATATATATATATGAATTACCAGCGACTGATGTGATTTACAATTACACTTACAAATCTATCACATCAGTTATATCAAATAAACAGGATCACAAAATACGACCTACCTCTTCAAATGGACTGACCACTAACTGGCCACTACAAAGAGTTTTAAAAATACCTTAACCCCTGACCCCAGTCAGACAGGTGTACATCTAAACTAAAAGAAGATCACTGTCATATATATATAAATATGACAAGTGCTCGTATACAAGTTGTACTTATCAAGTATTGATAAAAACAACTAAATAACATGAACAATACATTGTCAATAATGACACTGTTACATTTACATGAAGGTTCCCAATGGTTCTTAGTTCTGCGTTTCAAATTTTGGGGATAATTGGAAAACCAAGATGGCTGGCAGGTGTTCATATTGAACTTGACATTGAACTAATGAAGATGGTACAATGGTGGGTGCCAAGATCCATCTAGGATCTCTTGTTTAACAATAAAAATTAGGTCAAAAATTGGTCAAGTCAAGTTCGCTCCCATCTATTACTACCACTCAAGCACCGCACATCATCATAGCAATTTCAAACCAGGTGGATACCTTTGCAGTCTGAACAATTTTGGTCATACCAAAAATTCCCAGTTTTTAACACATTTATTATGGATTCTCTTTTACTATTAGATTAAAGAATGAAAGATTTTTATAAGACCTCAACTAAATTACACTTGGGAATAGGTGGTTCACGACCAACGTTGGAACAGGCCTTGAGGTATTTCAAATGTTCAGTTAAGATCTGTTTGATTCAACTTATAGATCTTTGATGGATATTTTATAAGAAATAAAAGAAGAGTTTAGTAATTCCCTCCTTTAATTGCTGACTGGTTCAGTAACTACCTCCATGTAATGTAATAGTACGAACCTTATAATGATATCATATCTTCCTCCAATTCAAACCCAATATTTGTAGAAACAACACCTGAAGCCTCAGTCACACTAGATCATACAATTTCTCGATCGTGCGACTAGTGACGATATGGCGGAGGTACGACCTATCAGCAAGGTTTGCTATGATCTCAATTAGCCATCTCACACTGCGACTGCTTTTAAGATTGGTGGTAGGTCATCATACAACTCCTGGTATGATTTGTCATGTGATTACCAACGATTGGACAAGATCATTGCACCATCAATCGTAAGTAATCGTGCGATTAGTCGTGCCGATCAGCGACTGGTCGTACGATCAATCGTGGTCACCTGTGACCAATCGCAGCTGGTCGAGCGATGGGTCGCTTGATCAGATATAAAGGTTTGTGATCATGCATTAGTCTAAGTGTAAGGGCCAACATGAGTTCTGTGCCCAGACCAAATTGTATACTCGCCATAGCTCTCTTTGGGTGTCGTAATGGAAAGTGACTTGAACCCCATATTTAGCCACTCCAAATATACTCGTCTGTGAGCTGAAGACTGGTCGTACCACCAATTGTAAAGTCTTACAACCAGTTGGGACTGATCGCACTACCAATCGTTGGTTTGTACGACAGGTGGCATGACCATTTGCAAGGTGGCACGACCAGTAGCACAACCAATCGTGCGACTGCTTGACTCATGATCATGGACGACTGGTAGTGCATCTATGCGCAACTGTTCATATGACCATGTAAGACCTGTCTGTGATTGATTTTGATCGTGCAAACACCCACGACCTGTACGACTAGTCGCACAATCTTTCTACACTTTGCCGACGATTCCAATATTTTTTAGTCGCATCTATCCTGTATCCTGGTCACAGGCCTGGTGTGACTGGGCCTTTATAGTTAAGATATGTTACCTTATGCACCTAAGTGCATAAAAACACACTTCTTTGTTGATAAAAGGTTTTCCTCTTAAGTGTTCAGTAATATCTGACCCCGCTCATACATTATGGTTTATATCTTGTAAAAAACAATTCTTTTGTAAATTTCATCAAATGTGGATGTTTACCATAATTATTAAGACTGAAATTTGTGGTTGCAGGTTGTGTTCGACAGGCTTGATACAGTTAAATAACATATGTTTTATGGGTGGATTGGTTGAGTGGTTAACACTCCGGCCTTCCAAACAGGTTGCCGGGGTTCCATCCTTGAAGTTGTCTTATGCATGGAATATTCAGAAAAAGTGTTTTTCTCCTGCCCACACAACTCTAACAATCGAGATGGAGTATAAAATGGTCTGGGGTGGATGTTGCAGTATCTGTGCTGTAGCATTCAAGTGAGGTGGCACTATAAATGCTTTTGGAAGCACGGTCCCACTACAAACAGAACACAATACATCACCAGCACACATGCAGGCATGCACACATAAGGAGATATTAGCCAGGTGGCATAGGACTAGTTGTTAGTGCCTGATAAGGCAGCTCCTACAAATTCCTCAAAACTGTATTTATTAATGTATATCCTAATTGTATTGATTGTATAACTTGCATGTCTATGTACTGTGAAGCACTTTAGAGAGGCTTATTCTAGCTAGATAGGGCGCTATAGCAAATATTGTATATTACTATAATTTACAAGGCAATGGTAGAGCCTTTATTACTATTTACTATCAAAATGTTTTGGAAGGGATTAAAAATGGATGTTGTTTTCCTAACACAAATGGTGGAATAAGCAGATGTGTTTGAAGATGTTTATTCTGGAAGATACCAGGTTGGAGGATTTCCTAAAATGTGGTTATTCTGATTTAAACCTGGTCAATTAAAATGTTATTCCTTCAAATATTAAAAGTGGGAAAGTGAAAATAATAAACAAAAGCTTCCATATTTAAGCATTTTGTCCTGGTTGTTACAGCTTCAAATAAAATCATAAAGCATCAAAAATGATCTACAACTGAGACACTAAATGTCAAATTGTTTCATTATCATACTTTAAATGCTTAATTTTCCTCCACATCAAAATTATAATCACAAGCTTTTGTAACATATCTTCAGGTGACCAGCCTAAGGAGAGTAAAGGATCTTTGGTACGAATTCCAGTTGTGTTAACAAAGAAAGGAGTTTCTTCAGACATGGCTAGATGCTGGGGTGTCTGTACACTGGACACCAGCGAGAAATCTGTAACCTTGACCCTGACCTCGCCTCCGGATATTTATATCGGAAAGTACAACCTGTTTGTTGAAAGTAACCTAAAGGATCAGGACATGGTGAAACGATACAAACACGAGGATGAAATCATCATTATCTTCAATGCGTGGTGTAAAGGTGTGTATAAGGTACAGATTGAGCAGTATAACAGGCACAAAATATTTAGCTCAACATAATCAGATAGTGGGCTATTCAAATAAATGGCCCTGTGTCTGTGGTCCATGGTTTGTTGTCTGTCCTTAACCAATTCTTGTTATTGTTATTCTCAGAAGGTACTGGAGGGATCTTTCTCAAATTTCATATGGAAGTTCCCCTTGGTATATCAACCATATTTGCTTGGAAGCATTTCTAGGTGGTCGGTATTCAAAATTGTACAAATGGAGGGTCTCAGGCCCCCAGGGAGCTGAAGGGCGGGGCCATAAATGGGTTATTTTGCCATGTTACTTTGAGGGACTTCTCTGGGACAAAGTGATGGATATTAACCATATTTGGTTGGAAGCATTCTCATTAATTGCTGAGAATTCAAATTTGTCCTAGTTTAAGGATCCCCGCCGGGCCTCCGCCTAAAAATGTAATGAGGCATTGTTTTTTTTTCTACACGCATCGCTATTGCATAACCAAATCATTTCTGAACAATAACCCATATCTTGCGGTAGTTCCTTCATATTTTTTGGGATATTATGAATTTTCAGTTGTTTTTTTCGATTTTGTTTTTCAATGGAACAAAATGAAACAAAATACATTTCATTTGATGCAACAATGGTTTATTAGAAATAAAACACATAAAAAATAATAACAATGTCAATATTGATGAACAAAACACAAAAAAAACTGAGTAGTTTTCTAACAATAATACTAAAACAAACAAAAATGCCCGTTACATGAATCAAGAAAATTCAGAGTGCCAATGCAACACGCCTACTACGTATACGAGGACAACGAAAAGAAAATATAGTTGACAAAAAATAAATATCTTGCGGACTTACTTATTATACAAAAAATTATAAAGATACAAAAAAACTAAACCAAAAAAGGGAGACAACTCTTACATTTGAACCAATAATAATTCTAAATCCCAGAAAGTCATATATACAATTTACAACATACAATATAGCACTTTTTATATATGAATATAATACAGTAGGCATTACCAACCATTAAAATTACTTCAAATGTAATAACTAATATCAAACAAAATTGCACATTGTGTATGAATAACATTATAACTAACAATGTACTTTACTGTGTCAAAGCAAAAATGTCACAATGAACAACTATAACAAAGTTTCACATACTTTACACAACAATAATAAATTTCGTGATCACTAGTCCTGGAGGGATCCTCATCGGACTTTGGTGTTGGCTCATCAGTAAAATTGCCAGTAAGCTCAGTGGGGGGCTTAGTAGCCAGCGTCTCTTCAATGTGTGAACGAGTGTCACTTTGTTTCGTCGCATAGTCGTGGTCTAGCAGTTGATATTGGACATCGATGTTGTTTCTATTGTCAGTTAATGCGTTTAGTTTACATTTAAAACAGCCGATTTTACGTCAGGTTTGCATGTCGGCCATCACTGCCACGACGTTGTTTACATCGTTACGAACGCTTTTTTTACCCACACTTTCCCAATTGTAGATTTTCAACGCAAGGGACACAACTCTGTAGTCGAAACGCTATTCAAACGAAATCTATTCAAGGAAAGATAACAACATTGTCGAAATGGTTATCAGGGGCAGGTGACTCTAACACTGAAAAACGACAGTGGAAATCTTTAGTGTTTTGCTCTGGCTGGGACGGGGATCCTTAAGGGATGATCTGAGGGGTGGGGCCAAAAAGAATTTAAACTTTGACATTATCAAGAACACCCAACCTGCAACCATGTATACACTTATTGAGCATTAAAAACTAATATTTTCATGATATAACAACTGACCCTTGGATCTGGCATAATCCCTAAGGACTTAATTCCTGAGCCATAACTTTGAAACAGTTGAAATCCCACTCCATGACCATATATGCCATTGCTTGGCATCAAAACATAAACACAATTATAGTAAAAGGATTGATCCTGAGGTCTGGCCCTATCTCTAGGGAGTTAATTCTTGAAAATCATAACTTTGAAATGGTTGAGATCCCCATCCCAAAACCATTTATACCATTGCTTGGCATTAAGAGACGAACACAATCATAATATTAGTTAATGACTTGGTATGTGTGTCTGGTCCTGATAATAACTAGGGATGTGTGTCTGGACCTGATAATAACTAGGTATGTGTGTCTGGTCCTGATAATAACTAGATATGTGTGTCTGGTCCTGATAATAACTAGGTATATGTGTCTGGTCCTGATAATAACTTGGTATGTGTGTCTGGACCTGATAATAACTAGGTATGTGTGTCTGGTCCTGAGAATAAATAGGTATGTGTTTCTGGTCCTGATAATAACTAGGTTTATGTGTCTGGTCCTGATAATAACTACGTTAGTGTTTCTGGACCTGATAATAACTAGGTACATGTATGTATGTCTGGGCCTGATAATAACTTGGTATGTGTGTCTGGTCCTGATAATAACTAGATATGTGTGTCTGGTCCTGATAATAACTAGGTTTATGTGTCTGGTCCTGATAATAACTACGTTAGTGTGTCTGGACCTGATAATAACTAGGTACATGTATGTATGTCTGGTCCTGATAATAACTTGGTATGTGTGTCTGGTCCTGATAATAACTAGGTTTATGTGTCTGGTCCTGATAATGACTACGTTAGTGTGTCTGGTTCTGATAATGACTTGGTTTATGTGTCTGGTCCTGATACTAACTAGGTATGTGTGTCTGGTCCTGATAAAAACTTGGTTTATGTGTCTGGCCTGTGAACATTAACAATGGATTTCATCATACAACCTTAGTGAAAATTACTAACACTAATTGTTGTCTAGCATTAAACTTTTGTTGCTTTAGAGGACACTGTGTATTTGGCGGATCCAGCTTGGAGAAAGGAGTATGTCCTCAATGAGACTGGAAATGTTTGGGTTGGGAGTCAATACAAGAACCATGGCAGACCCTGGAACTTTGGACAGGTATTTTAATCAGAAACTTCCTAGTTAGCAATTATAAAAAATAGCACAGTTTTTTGTGCATGTGTGTCATTTTTCACACCACCTTACAAAATGGAAGTAGTGTGAAGAAAGGTGCGAGATTGTGTTCTTGAACAGTGCCATTGTACTGATCTGATGCTCAAAGTTTAGTACCTTACTGACAGGCCGTACTGACAGACTGTACACACAGACCTGCCTGCCAGACTGTACACACAGACCTTACTGACAGACTGTACACACAGACCTAACTGACAGACTGTACACACAGACCTTACTGACAGACTGTACACACAACCCTTACTGACAGATATGTACACACAGACCTAACTGACAGACTGTACACACAGACCTTACTGACAGACTGTACACACAACCCTTACTGACAGATATGTACACCCAGACCTAACTGACAGACTGTACACACAGACCTTACTGACAGACTGTCCACACAACCCTTACTGACAGATATGTACACACAGACCTAACTGACAGACTGTACACACAGACCTTACTGACAGACTGTCCACACAACCCTTACTGACAGATATGTACACACAGACCTAACTGACAGACTGTACACACAGACCTTACTGACAGACTGTACACACATATCTTACTGACAGACTTTACACACAGACCTTACTGACAGACTGTACACACAGACCTTACTGACAGACTGTACATACTGACAGAATATACTCACAGACCTTACTGACAGATTGTACACACAGCCCTTACTGACTGACTGTACACACTGATAGGCTGTACTCACAGATCTTATTGACAGACTGTACACACAGACCTTACTGATAGACTGTACACACATACCTTACTGATAGACTGAATACACATACCTTACTGACAGACAACACACAGACCTTACTAACATACTGTATACACAGACCTTACTGACAGACTGAACACACAGACCTTACTAACAAACTGTACACACATATCTTTTTGACAGACTTTACACACAGACCTTACTGACATACTGTACAGACATGCCTTATTGACAGACTGTACACACAGACCTTACTGACAGACTGTACTCACAGACCTCACAGACATTACTGACATACTGTNGGTCCTCACTGGCCTTTCTCACAGACTATCCTTACAGACTGTACTCACAGACCTCACAGACATTACTGACATACTGTACACACTGACAGACTGTACACACTGACAAATTGTACACACTGACAGACTGTACACACAGACCTTACCGACAGACTGTAAACACTGACAAACTTTACAAACAGACCTTACTGACAGACTACACACAGACCTTACTGAGAGACTACACACAGACCTTACTGACAGATTGTCAACACAGACCTAAATGACAGACTGTACACACATATCTTACTGACAGACTCTACACACAGACCTTACTGACGTACTGTACACAAAGACCTTACTGAGAGACTGTACACACAGACCTAATTGACAGACTTTACACACAGACCTTACCGACAGACTGTAAACACTACTGACAGACTTTACTGACAGAACATACAGTTACTTGCAGACCTTACTCACAGACTGTACACACCGACCTTACTGAAAGACTGTACACACAGACCTCACTGGCCTTTCTCACAGACCGTACACTGACAAACTTTACAAACAGACCTTACTGACGTACTGTACACAAAGACCTTACTGAGAGACTACACACAAACCTTACTGACAGACAACACACAGACCTTACTGGCGTACTGTACACAAAGACCTTACTGACAGACTGTACACACAGACCTCATTGACAGACTGTACATACTGACAGACCGTACATACTGACAGACTGTACATCCTGACAGACTGTTCTCACAGACCTTACTGACAGATTGTACACACAGCCCTTACTCACAGACTGTACACACTGACAAACTTTACACACAGTCCTTACTGACAGACTGTACACACAGACCTTACTGAGAGACTACACACAAACCTTACTGACAGACTGTATACACAGACCTTACTGAGTGACTACACACAGACCAAAATGACAGACTACACACAAACCTTACTGACAGACTGTACACACGGACCTTACTGCCAGACTACACACAAACCTTACTGACAGACTGTATACACAGACCTTACTGAGAGACTACACACAGACCAAAATGACAGACTGTACACAGATTGTACTGATAGACTGTACACACAGACCTTACTGAGAGACTACACACAAACCATACTCACAGACTACACACAGACCTTACTGACAGACTACACACAGACCTTACTGACATACTGTACACACAGACCTTACTGACAGACTGTACACACAGACCTTACTGACAGACTGTACTCACAGACCTTACTGACAGACTGTACACAC